TATTTAACGTCGCAGACAGGGCGCCGATCACAACCAGTATTCAGATCAGATCCTGCCAGAAATTAGTTATAGACGGTTTGGTAGACGTCTCGCATAGGACTGGTCGGTCCATGTTCCCTCTACAGCGCAGCAAGCAGACCAAAGGACAAGCGGCAAAGCATGCATGTACTAGTCCCACTGGGTTGGCATTGTGACCACGACCCGAGTGCTTCGTTCAGGGCCCTTCCGTGGCAACGCCCGTCTCACACCAGCTTGCTCCTCAGGAAGAATGTCGACTCTCAAGGTTGTGCGCTCACGACACATCACAATGAGAGGACTCTCAAGAGAAAACTCACTTCCTCACGGTAAGAAGTAACAAAGAGGGTAGATGAGGTAAAGCGCAATGTACCTCATAATGTTGCCCCTAGCCACAGATTTTCTCACCAGTAACCTGACGTGCATTTATGATGACCGGTCGATGCGTCGGCACAATCCGCATTACAATGCAGTTCCACCTCGGCTTAAATGCCACGTCACCAAGCTCTCAACATCCAGCGTGCACCCCATATGTCACCTCATAGCCTTCCTGGCGCGCCCACACGACCCTGGGCCGCCAACACACCAGCGCACAAACGTTATCACTGCCGCACCATATCCAGCAAAGCACCAAACAGCTATTGCAAAGTAGCCAGTGGAGCGGCTCGAACCAGCTCTGATACCAAATTGCAAGGATACATGAGCAATAGCAAAATGACAGAAATCCAGGATGCAAATTCACATTGAAGGCCAGAAAAACCAACGCTGTCCAGAAAGCAGAAATGCACTGATATTCAACCAACGGAGAACCAAAGTACTGAATCCGAATGTCAATGAGAGCATACTCTCGCCACCACCAACATATGTATCAGAGCCCTTCCTCCTACTTGGCGCTCAGCGCCCAGACTTCTACTACAAAGCTACTAGCAGCCTACGAATTGACAATGCATCCCTTTGACGTCAGCAGCAACAACCGAAATGCATGAAGATGTCGACCTTGTAAACCATTGCCAAGACCAAGTACGTGCCCTCACATCATCATCTTCATGTCTCTCACTCTCTCCGTTGTCTTCTCTTATCCACGTCTTCCCTCTCTTGCACAAAAAACACCACTCGCTGACTAAGACTAAGCCAAGCCCGGTTACGGGGGCTGGCTATGGCACTGCCCTCAGCAGCGCCCTGTACTCTGCACGTCCGCGTGTGCACGCAACACCTGTGCTAGCGCAGCAAGCAGCCGGCGAGCGATCGCTCCAGCAGCGCTAACGCCCGCAACTTGCACATGCCCGACCGTCGAGCCCGGAGCCCTGCCCTTTCCTATATGGAAAGTGGCGGGCGCTTTGCCTTGCTCCCCCATGTGAGACCGAGTTCCCAGTAGCTTCAGTATCCCGTCAAAGTGTCTGCGCCCAGGCCCTTTCAGACAGTGGCCTGGGACCGAATTGGTTAGGCACGCCCAACCACCCAGGCACAAACGTGCGATGCTCCCTGCTTCCACCACGTTGCTGAAAAAGCCTGGAAGGCTCACAAATATTTCGGATGCTCACGAGCAAGGCGAATGTAACCAACTGGCGCGTGGCAACTGTCTGGCGCTGACCAAGATTTGCAAAAACTGACGAGTTCAGGGCGCATTGAGATTCAGGCGGCCCGCCTTCACTTAGGGCGGGCACGTGCCTGCTGCAGGGCTCTATGCCGACGCATAAACTCTCGCACAGTGAATCCGTGTGTGGTCATTAGAGAGTAAGGAGGATTAACATTCTGCCCCTTGTTGTTTGGCCTGGGTAAGCTCAAAGTTGGCTGTCTGTTCACACATGGCTGATTGCTGTCTGTTCACACGTGGCTGATGAGAACGAGTAAATATTGTCATTTAGCTCTCCTTTGAGAGACGGCATCACATCTCTTCATGAAATCATTTATGGAACCATGCCCAATGTACATGTAATCTCCCGAAGTCTCGAACTCAGAGAAGAGAATGAGGAGAGAGGGAGAAGAGAGTGATAGGAAGAGGAGGAGAGATTTCACAAGAATCGACGAAGCAGAAGTCCCTCCTCAAGCCTCCTCGGGCATCTCCCTCACTCGCCACACCAGCAATACACTTCTCCCCTGACGATCTCTGACATATACAACAAACAGGTCACAGCAGGGTGCCCATCCTCCATCCACGTCAGGAGCAATCAAGGAGGATGGCGCAGATCTTCCTCTTGGAGACGAGCAGCAAAGCACACGCTACGTCACGGGTAAGTCCAGGTAAGCTTCTCCTCATCACGCGCACCAATCTCACAGTCCAGATCCTCCTCCTCCTCGCCCACACTCCTATCAATGTCGCAATCAATGTGGCTATGGCCCCTTCAGCATAATCTATCAATGTCGCAATCAATGTGGCTATGGCCCCTTCAGCATAATCTTCCTCAAGGCTGGCGCCCACACTCAGAATCTGGCGCCAGCATTAAGTTCCAGCAGCCTTGCGTCATTGCACCAGCAAGAAGCCAGCGCCGGGCAGAACGCACAAGACTGAATGATCTCCAAGCAGGGGCTGGGTCAACTTATACTGCTGACTCACGTTGACCAGCCTCTGGTCTCCTGAGGTCGACCGCCCAGATCAATAGGAAGCCAATTGCCTGAACGCTGTGCAGTTGCAGATTTCCCACACGTCCCACTTGGACCGGATTCTTCTGAATACCTGCAGACAACCAATGATGCGTATCTGATCTACGGCCATGGCTGACCAGCAGGTTGACTTTGACATCTGGGTCTGGATTCCCGTGCTGGGGTTGACCGTTGACTTTCTCAAAGTCAACTGTTCCTCGTATGGCCTCTGAATGCTACCCCTTGGCCTTGGGCCTTTTCCCAGGCTCTTCTTAGACTTAGGGCATGATTTTCGACCCCTCTGTCGGGCCTTTGACCAAAAGTGACGACCCGTTGACTTTCTCAAAATCAACTGTTCCTCATACGGCCTCTGAATGCTACCCCTTGGCCTTGGGCCTTTTCCCAGGCTCTTCTTAGACTTAGGGCGTGACTTTCGACCCCTCTGTCGGGGCTTTGACCAAAAGTGTTACATGCCCAGTTGGGCGATGTGCACATACAACCAAGGATCCGCAATGTGATAAAATGGACAATGCAGTGCAAGTAGAATCTCAACAAGCAGTGTACATTCTGATACATACAAAAATGGTGCTTTATAGCGCAGTGAAAGACTTAGATACAAGTCCTGACCTGACCGGGACTGACCTCCGTAACGTAGTACAAGACAGCACAGCAGAATGCTAGAATACCAATGACAAGCCCAATCAATGTTGCAATGCAGACTAAACATACATCATCTTCATCACAAGGTGTGAAGGAGGCCTGGCGCTACACACAGGAACCAGGTCCTGATCATGCACAGACGAAGAGGAGGGGAACAGACGAAGAAGAGGAGCGGGGAGATGGGAAAGTCGTCAACACCAAGTCTTCATTACAAGTCCCAAATAATCCCTCGTCAAAATGTCTGAAGCTCAACATCGAGTCTGGATCCAAATGTCACCAAGCTCTCTCTCGTAGTCTGCTGATGCAATGAAGTCAGACAGCGAGAGGGTGAGAGGGAGATGGTGAACTGAGAAGCGGAAGAAGAAGAACTCTCTCTCTCTCTCTCTCACGTGCCAGGTACTAACCTGTGAAGTTGGCACTGTGCTGCAGGTACCTCGAAGACGAAGCTGGAGCTATGGCGCTGCAAGTAAGCCTCCCTGGCCTCCGCCCAATCTCTCTCTCTCTCTCTCTCTCTCTCTCTCTCTCTCTCTCTCTCTCTCCGGTACTACTCTAGTTCCTACTAGCGCCCAGCGCTGAAGACTACTGCTAATGCTACTAGCGCCCGGCGCTGAAGACTACTGCTAGCGCTACTACTACTGCAGCGCTCCTCCAGAGTGCTGCTGCCGACTCCGGAAGACTACCTCCTGCCTCCTGAACTGCACGTGAAGTGCCTGGGAAGAACCTAGGAACTACCTGCAGTCTGCAGGGCGGGCCAGTCCTATATGGTGCTGGCCCGTCCAGGAGGCTGCTCTTGCCAATGCCGAAATGTGCCAGACCCTGGCATTGAAGCTCAACCAGGGGTTGTCTTGAAAACAGGCCCAAAATGGCCTGTGCTAAAACCCTGGTTTGGTGCCTGAGTTTCAGGGCAGGTCGAACTCACGAGGGCCTGAAAATGGCCCTCAGTTTCAGGCTGAAAAGACTCAGGGCCTGTAGGCCCTTGTTTTCAGGCTGAAACGACACGGGGCCTGTAGGCCCTTGTTTTCAGGCTTTCGGCCTGAAAACGTCACGGGCCTGAAAGTGGCCCGTGCAGCCTGTTGCAGGCGCAGCATGTAACAAAAAGTGACGACCTCGAGCCCACAGCTTCTGCAGATTTGAGCCAAGTTATTGCAGGCGCCGCAATGTAGTTTAATTGACTGAATTGGGGAAAGGACCTGGGTGTTGCCAACTGGTCGATGTAACATTCTTCTGCAAAGTTTAATGCCTGCTGGCCGTACTGTAGGCATGTTGGTACCCACTGGCCCTACCATATTCATGTCAGCGCCTACCAGCCAGAGGCCTGCCTGCCAACCATCGACTGTGCAACACACTGGAAAGGGTCTAAGGATATTCAGGAAAGGAGGGATTTTCCTCTTTTTTTTTGTTTCTTTTTTTTTTTCCCGACAGAGGAGGGAAGAAGATGGAAGGACAACTAAGAGATGACCTACTGTTTTCACCTGAATGGCACGCCTTGTCATTATAGCTGTATATGGGGCAACTCTTAGTCCAGATACAGCTACAATGACCGGGCAGAATTCTACTTAGATGAAGACCACAGTCCAAACTTGAAAAAGGAGAAAAAAGAAAGGGCATTGACGTGAAGGCGATCCTGTTCTTTACCTTGCATGTCCAATCAAAATGAGAGAAAAAGTGAGTTCACTCAAATCAAGTCACACATTCAGTCTACCGGTCGAGTGAAGAGGAATATCAATACATGCAAGAGCTCTTACCAGCTCCTTGAAGTAGATGGCTTTGTGCCGATTTTCCGGGTGTCTTAAACCAGATCCAGTGCACAAGCTGAGCAAGTCAAATGTTAAACAGAATTGGAGAGCAGATCATGGCAGCAGCAAGGGAAATGGAACAAGAACAAAACAACAAAAACAAAAACAACAAAAACAACAACAACAAGCAAGGATTTCAGTCAACCAGTATCCATTTAACTTTAACAAACAGATACTGACAAACGATGGTGTCATCCCCGATCATTGATAGGGAGGGTGGAACCTGTATACAGGGAGAAAATCTGTAGCGGCAGATCAACAGCAGGGAGTTCTTCAGCTGCTGAAGATCGCATCATCCTACGCAAAAATGGTAAGCAATAAAGTTGACGGACACACACCCCTTACGCATGATTAAAGCTCTTTGTCAAGCGCACCGAGTTTTGAGGTCAATTATGAAAGCAAAATGGCCTGAAAGAATTCACATTTGCACACAACTGCAGTGCCACAGTGTTGCATACTCGTGAAACACAGTCATAAGTATGGCGCAGATCCCCAGAACCAACCAGATAATACAGAGTAAAATTAGTAAATACAAATACAGCGGAAGACTTGATACACATGGACGGACTCAAAACCTGACGCAGACTGCAATGAACCTCTCACAAACATGCATCGGTGGTGTGAAAGCCCTGGCCTTGAACATGGAAGACGAGGCCAGGGGCTGATCTCATACACGGATAAATGGGGGGGAGGAGAAACGAAGGGAGGAGGAGAGGGAAGATGACGTCAACTCAATGTTTCCAAAAAGAGTATCTCGAAATGTCAGAAGTAGCGAAAATCCAAAATGTCGCGAATACAGTCTCACAGTGTCTCAGATATCGACCTCACAATGTCAAGATTCATCCTCAGAGGTAGATGAAGTCGGATCCCGAAGTAGTCAACCTGCGGTCTCAATGTCGCTATCTCTAGTATCATCAGAACTTGTAACCATCCTTCACAGTCGTAGTAGTCCAGTAGGGGTAACCTGAGATGTCGACTTGGACTTAGAGGTAGGGGAAGAGAGAGAGAGAGAGAGAGAGAGAGAGAGAGAGAGAGGAGAAGGAAGAAGAGGGAGGAAAGCCGAAGCCTTTCTCCCTGGTACCTGGCGATGCAGCTATGGCGCGGCAGGGCTGGACGCTGGGCCGCGGGCTGGGCCAGAGGGCCGGCGCTGCTCCTGCTGCTGTTCCTCCTCGCTTCCCAACGCGGAAATGCTGCGCTAATCTGTAGACTAACTCGTAGCCTAACCTCCAGACCAGAGGGCCGGCGCTGCTCCTGCTGCTGTTCCTCCTCGCTTCCCAACACGGAAATGCTGCGCTAATCTGTAGACTAACTCGTAGCCTAACCTCCAGACCAACTGAAGACTAAACTGCCTACTGAGGCTGGTACCCGGCTGATATAGTGCTGGGCCAGCCTCAAGGCTGCTGGTACCCTGGGTCTGGACCGTTGATCTGATTCAACGGTTCAGATCCGTTGTCGGAAACTGAAAGTGACGGCGTAACTTGGCCGCTGTTCAAAACCGTACCACCGGTAGGTCCTACCGCTGGACCGGTACCAGCCTGAACCGATGTGACCGTTGGGCCTGTCTAGACCCCTACACCTAGGCCTCCGCGTTCTAACTGAACCGCCATACCCTGACCTAGACGAAACTGGGCCCTAACTGGGGCCCGTGTGGTTCAGAATGCCACACACAGTCTGCACTAGATGCATGCATTAGCTTGTAGAGAAGGCAGTAGATTACTGACGGCAACAACTGCAATAATTGAAACATGTGCAAAATTAGTAAATTACTGAGAGTGTGATGGTGCAGTAATTGAAAATAGGATGAGAGAAAATCAACGAGAGAACTACCGGCTCCTCCCACACCTAACACATACGCGTTCTGGAGCTCCTGTTCAAATTCTCACCCCAAAAAACGATTTTTGAAAAAGGGTTCAGTTTTCAAATATAAAGGCACTTGGAATAGATACCTTTGACCTGCTTTCACGTTTCTGAGCCCTGGCGAGATACCTTTTCACAATGCTTTACTTTTACAAGGCCCGAGCTGCTTCACTTTTACAAGGCCTGAGGCCCACATCGGGTAAAGGCCCTTTTACTCTCGCCGGCCTGATTTCGAAGTCCTCTGAGAATCATTTACCTATCAAGGATATGAATCCCTCTCTTTGCGCTTTCGTATGCAGACACAATATGAGGTGCAGAATCTAACAGCTCTTCTCTTGTAAACCAGCGATCTTCACTAGAATCCTGGTATGCAAACCTCACCTTATACTGTCGCTGTGGTCTGACTCTACGTCCAGTGTGGTAAGTACTTTCTGCAACAATTTTATCTACGTCATACTTCCCATCCATACTTGGAGGTATCGCTAAGCGGCGACTTGGGAAGAGCTCATTCGTTACACAAGGTAAGAGCTTGGACGCATGGAACACTGGATAGGTACGTAGATGAGGAGGAATCTCAATGACATACGAAGGACCATCCACATCACCAATTATGTATAGAACTTGCCAAGGTCCTCTGTAGGTGGGTAGAAACTTCTGAGAGATGTTCTCTTCAGGAGCAAACTCTTTAGACTTCACCCAAACCAAATCTCCTACAGCAAATTGAGATGGGCGTTTGTGTTTATTTTGCCTGTTCAATCATCTGATGTTGTGCTTTTGAGTATATTTTCTTTTACTTTCTCAATATCTTTCTGATATTGGACTGCAAATTCACTAGTCCCTATAGGAAGCTGATGTACTTGATCCGGGTTCAATCGATCAATGGGTCTGCGTGGACGACATCCCAGATGTAACTCCATAGGAGTCTTACATGTAGATAGATGTACAGAGTTATTATAGGCACTGGCAACTTTAGGCAGATGTTCATCCCAGTCAATCTGATCGGGACGGATGTACATGCGTAAAGTTTGCTGCAAAATCTTGTTCATCTGCTCAGTTTGGCCATTAGTCTCAGGATGTCTGCCTGACAACATAGTCAACTTAGAGCCATAAACATTCATCAGTTGCTGCCATTGTTCACTCGTGAGTCTGGTATCTCTGTCACTCACAATAGTTAAGGGATGTCCAAAGTCTTTTACCCAATGGTTAAAGAATTCCCGAATTACCAATTCAGTCTTTGCTTCCGCAGGCAAAGCTACAAAAACAGCATACTTAGTGAATCTATCCACTATGACCATTACTTGTGTCTTCCCATTTCTGCTTTTTACCTTAGTGTCCATGAAATCTATAGAGACAGAGTCTCCAGGGCCGGTAGGGATAGGCAAGGGCTTAAGTAGCCCGAGGGGCGATTGCGTGGTGCTTTTGTTTCGTTGGCACACTTGGCAACCTTGCACATACGCGATACAGTCTGCTTTCATCCGAGGCCAGGTGTAGGAACGCAATAAAGTCCCATAGGTCTTTTTCCATCCGAAATGGCCTTCTGTATTTCGGGCCTTCTGTATCATGGCATTCCCCCAAGATCATACTTTTGATCTCTTCATTATTGGGTATACACAGCCTATCACGCACATCAGTTCGTTCAAACAATAGACCCTGAGTTACTTTATGATCGGAAAACTCTGCTGGCTTTTCTTGCATTAGCCTAATCATGGTTCCATAAACAGGATCAGAGGGATAGGCATTTCTAATCTTGTCTTGTAGGTCAGCGCCTACGTCTAGATAGGTCACAATAGCACCGAAAAAGTCTGATCTACGACTTAGTGCATCAGCAACAACGTTATACTTGCCATTTACTGGCTTCAATTCGAAATCAAACATATCAATTTCCGCAGCCCACCTTGTCAACTTACGTGTCATTCGAGCTTGCGTTTTGAGCCAGCGAAGTGTTTCATGGTCAGAGTATACTTTAAAATGCCTTCCTAGAAGGTAGTGTCGCCAATGATTGAGAGCCTCATGCAAAGCATACAACTCTCGTACATACATTGAAGCGGCCACCTTCTCGTTAGGTAAGCGGCAAGACATAAACTCTACAGGTCTGTACCCATGCCCATCATCTTGCTGGAGTACATCACCTATACCATATTGACTAGCGTCGGTCGTGACCACAAAAGGTAATGAAGGGTCGGCTACTTTCAGAACCGGATAATTGATCAAACACTTCTTCAGACGCTTGAAAGACATAATGCAGTCTGAATCCCACTTCCAAATTACTTCTTTCTTAAGTAATCGGCGAAGGGGAGCAGCTATTATCGTAAAGTGTCTTACGAATTTTCGATAGTAATTGGCTAACCCAAGGAACGACCGCAACTCAGTCAAGGTGCGGGGGTTCAGCCAGTCTCTGATTGCTGCTATCTTTGCATCTTCCGGTTTGACCCCATCTCCATCAATCACATGTCCCAGGTATAGAACCTGACGCTTAGCCCATTCACACTTTTTTGGGTTTATCTTGAGTTTTGCTTCCCTTAGCTTATTTAGCACAAGTCGAAGGTGCTCAGCATGTTCTTTTTCATCCTTGCTGAAAATCAAAATATCGTCTAGATAAACCACAACAAATTTATCGAGCCACTCACGAAATAGTTCGTTCATTGTTCTTTGGAAAGTGGCAGGGGCATTCGTGAGACCAAAGGGCAGAACTATAAACTCATAGTGCCCATACCTTGTTCTGAAGGCAGTCTTGTGTTGGTCTTCCGGCTCAACCTCAATCTGATGGTAGCCGGACTTAAGATTAATCTTTGAAAAGAATTTGCTTCCCTGCACGCGATCTAGCAAATCGTCTATTCGCGGTAATGGTTCGGCATTTTTCACTGTTATATCATTTAACCTCCTATAATCTATACACATGCGAACGCCGCCGTCCTTTTTAGGCACAAAGAGCACAGGCGCACCATAGGGTGAGGAGCTAGGTCTTATCTAACCATTTTTCAACAACTCATCGAGTTGGGTTCGCAGTTCATCCAATTCCTGGGGCGACATACGATAGATAGGCCCCTTCGGGGGCGCGCTCCCTGGAATGATATCAATGCGTTGGCCGATTGGTCTTTCCACCACACCGCTTGGGGCCTCAGCCACATCTGCAAACTCTTTCAGGATCCTTTCAATCTC